ATGGGTCATGCGTGAGCAGCAGAGATAAGGGATGTAAACATATCTTCCATTTTTTTATTATAATAATATTATTATATTAATATTATTATCCTCCGCGCATTTTTGCTCGGACATGTCTTCGCAGCGAAATAGTCTCTCGTAAGTAAAATTGACATTCCGGACGCAATCGCACAGTTCGTTTCGTCATTCGTGGTCGTTTGGGCCACTTTTCTGACGATTCTGCCCAAAACAATAATTCACACATTTTTACCCCGCCCGCGAAGTCGTAGCGAAGTGAACATGCCCCGTAAGTGAAATCGACATTTCGGACGCACTCGCGTGGTCCGTTTCGTCGTTCGAAGTCATTCGGGGTCATCTAGACCACTTTTTCGTTGATTGGGCAAAAAAATGATAATCTGCATATTTTAAGCCTGCACGCGAAATTGTTGTGCAACGAGCGCCTTTTCTAAGTGGAATCGACGTTCCGAACTCACTCGTGTGGTCTGTTTTATCTTTCGGGGCAATCTGAACGAGCTCGCTGGTAATCCGGTCAATTCGAGCCAATTTCATGCGCGACGCGACGAATAATATTTTTGGGCCCGATCGAAATCGTCTAATGTGCCTAATGCTGACCGGCCTTCGCCCAAGCGAAAGCCAAAGCCTAGCAAAATGACCCCGGTTACGTGCCCCTCAACACATGTCGGTGGGTCCAAAGTAGATGTCTCGCGCTGCAGGGGTCAATACGTGCATCAAGCAACGTTTCTTAGTGCTCGAACGAACATCATACACTCGTGACATCAAAAACTGATGCCAACAATGATTGACTTGAAGAATTTGTTATCTTACTAGTAGACAAGTCATATCAGTTAGAACACTCGCTCATGTAACTGATTTGTGCCTAATTAAGATCCTCGATACCCAATCGAAGTGTGATGTTTTCCTTGACGATGACTACTTTGCTCATTTTTAAAGAAATTCCTAGTGGAGTTTACTGAGTTGAAGCTTACAAAAGCACCCAAAGTTGGATAATCTCATGCGTATAACCTTTTGGATACCTCTTTGATATCTTGATAGACTCAAGTTTATCTTATACACCATTTTGGAAGGTATGTTGTGCTGATTATGATCTTCGTCTGCCTAGTCAACCCATACAAATATGAGGGTGTTTTCATTTATAAGGAATATCCCCAGTAGAATTTAGGAAAAAATTCCCCAGCGGAGCCCTCTTGTTAGGCACTTTACAAAAATACCTCTCCTGGGTTAGGCTGTTACCTTTCCTTAAAGATGAGGTGTCATGTCCTTAAACACGCTTAATTTTCTTTATATTTTGTACGTATTTATGGATGAACTTGTGCTTTAGAAAAATGTACTTTTTGTATTTTTCTTGCAGGCATAATAGGTAGGAAAAAAGGAGCGAAGCAAAGCTTAGATAGAGCGAGATGGAGCTGAAATGGAACAAATTAGGGACCAGAAGACTAGCACTTAGGCACCAGCCTTTGGTCACCATGGTGCACCACCCAAGCATCTTGGTACCAACATACTAAGCGCCTAGGCACTAGAATCTACTCAGGCAAACAGAGTGCCAAAGTGTTGGAAGCTGCCTATGCAGTTTCTGCAATTATTTCAGCATGACTTTGGGAGTTAAGGGAGTATCGTAGGCAGTTTGAGAGAGCACTTCTGAACATTCTAAAGCCTGGGAAGTCCAAGAAGGCAGAGAAGTTGTAGTGTAGAGTTAAGGTTTTGTATTTTCCACTCTCTTATAGAGATTGGAAAAAAGGATTGGAGAGAAATTTGTAAGGAGATATAATCAGCATTGCAGGGAGCACTTAGAGACCTTTTGGGTGGGAATGAATTTTTATCTCTTTTCTCAGGAAAAAAGTTAAGTATTGTGTTCTATATTGTATTGTACTGTTTGTAAACACATTCTAGTGGATTTTCTTTGTTATAAGATGATGATTTATTGTGTTTTCTTCATGCATTGTGAGTAGATCTTTCTTCTTTTCTCTTGCGATGAATAAGTTGAATGTGTAGGATGTTAGGATACTTATAGAGCTGATCTTTAAACATCAATGTGACGAGTATTCCTCAAAGCTTACTTTTCATACTTGCCAAATTAACTAATACAATTCATTGCGATCCATTATGACTCAAAAGAGTGATGGGGGAATGATTAGAGTATTCACGTTGAACTATATATTATGAAGCAAAAGTAAACTATAGGGAGATGCAAATATATATGGAAATAGTCTTTGATGGGTTCAAATTGGGTTTAAAGAATTAAAAACAGTTTAACCAAACTTCTTTATGCACTCGGAAGATGGTAAAAAAAATAATTGCTCCTATTCGTCACTAGCCACATTTGTAATTTGAAGTATCTATTCCCACACAATCAATTGTATCATCACAAGAGGGGTAACTTTTATATCTTGATAATAACCAATGCAATCAAGTTCGGTAGGTTTTAACATTAAAATTAATTGAAGTAGCGTAGGAGTAGTTGGTAGAACTTTCACTTAATTAAAATTACAAACTAAGACAAAAAAGTAGTAGATTAGAACTTCTCTTAAAGGATTCATTACCTCACTCTCAGTGAGATCGACAAGACTCAATAAAACCCTATGTTACTGAAACAATACGCGGTAGGTTTTAACATTAAAATTAATTGAAGTAGCGTAGGAGTAGTTGGTAGAACTTTCACTTAATTAAAATTACAAACTAAGACAAAAAAGTAGTAGATTAGAACTTCTCTTAAAGGATTCATTACCTCACTCTCAGTGAGATCGACAATGCAGACTCAATAAAACCCTATGTTACTGAAACAATACATATATTTGCGTGAGAAATCCTAACGTGCAAGAACACCTGATTTTAAGAACTCAATAAAGTTTCTAGGGAGCGTATCAATTTTCTGGTTTTGTTATCAGAGACTTATTTTATTGTGATAATCGTTAGGGTGGATCAAGTTTCTGACACCGTTGCTGGGGAGATTTTAAAATAAGCCGAAACAGTGAGCCACATAGGTCGTAGTTGGTCACATAGGCTAGAGTGGGGAGCTGCAATAATGTCAATTGGACACAAAATCCATAATTGAAAGCTGCGGTAGTGGTGAGCCACATACATAATGAGCTTCAATAGTGTTATTTAGCCACAAAGGTAGTAGTTTGTCAACATTGATTGATAGCTACAACTCTTTCTTGGGTTTACCATTTCTCACTAGAAATATCACTCATCGGTATATGATGTAAGGAACAAACTTCAAGTGTCGGAGAAAAACATCGCACTCTGAATACATGTGACAGTAAGCAATTATTATTAGATTTTCAATATATCATTATTTGTTACATCATAATCCAGATACATTGTTATCTAGTTTTTGGAATATTTTGTTACACTGTGTTCGATGTAAATTATTTTGCCATATTTGAGGAACTTCATTACATCATATTCAAGTGTACTTCATTACACGACATGGTTCATTGATTGCGACAAGCAAGGGCAGTTGGTTGTGGTCAATGACCACCAGCTGGTGATGCTCAACAGTGGTCGACGGTTATATATGACAGAAATTATCTTGAACACTGGAATTCAAGTCCTCTTTTTCTCCTAGATCTATTTATAGGCTCCAAAAAAGGACATTTGGTATTTTAACGAATAACTCTCGTAGCCACCTGATCAAGCAGTCCACATTGATTTCTCTTGATCATATGAGTTTTTTTTTTATGATATAAGAGCCTTAATGACCTTGGAATCAAATGACATTTTGCTAGATTCTTCTCATCAAGACAATCGATAAATTTGGAGTTCATTTGTTCTTCCAATTGACCATTCAAAGCCTTCATATGATGTCGGTTTGGACTCTGATTGCACCAATTTTGGTATCATTGAATTAGTCTCATCGAACGGTTAATTTAACTTTGTTAAAATTGGAATTCTAAAAGATTTTCAATTTAACTCAGAATATTTTTTAGTTTAAAAAATATATTCAGATCAGTGTCAAATGCCTCGAGATTCATGTCAAGAGATGAAATTTGTTGACCCATAAAATATAGAGCATTTAACAAATTATTTATTAAATAATAAGTTTTTTCATGAATATTAATAAATGAGTTGGTTTATATTCTAATTTGTTTCATTTAAGTTATAAAATTTTAAAATATATTTAAATTTATTTATATAACAAGTTGGACATCGAGCCCATTTCGAGTTGTTCGTTACTGCATTGGTTCATTTACAGCCCGAGAGAGTAGAAATGCAGCAGAATACCGGATATCCTGTCATTCAGGTTCGGCACGTGGATACCATTACAAGCAGCCCTAACCCTCATTAGACCGTCTCTTTCCTCCGAACGCGTGAAGACAGGGAGGAGAAGCGGAGAAAGCTGGAAAGCAGAGGAGACGGACCGGCAGACTTCCATCCTCACCTTCGCTCTTTGATCAACCGACTGATTTAAGAAGCCCCAGGCAATTCCCTGATCTCAACCTTTTTTCTATTCTCTTGATCGGTCCTATCCGTTTTTGCTCCTCTGTAATTCATCTCGATCATGATTATTTTTTGCCATTGTTATGATCCCCTGTTGAGCTCTGCTTGTAAGATCTATGGATCTATCCTTCGGTATCTGCGACACGCTGGGCTAATTTGTTCGTTTCATAGATTCTGGCTATGATCTGATGTGGAGATTTGTATCCGAGGGTTAATATTGGCTGTGGAGGGATTCGTATGGATCTGTAGTGTCTTCGTGTATTTTTCTTGATTTGGTTCTGATTTTGAATCTTTGGGTGTGATTGAATAGAGAAAAGATGGGGCTGACATTTACGAAGCTCTTCAGCCGGCTTTTTGCCAAGAAGGAAATGAGGATTCTCATGGTTGGGCTTGATGCTGCTGGTAAGACGACAATTCTTTACAAGCTTAAGCTCGGAGAGATCGTCACTACCATTCCTACCATTGGTGAGTGCTCTACTTCGCCAGGCCTATCTTTTCAATTTTTTGGTAGGAAATCTTGGTTATTATTTCTTTGATTATTAAGTTGCAAGAACTGTGTAATTTATAAATTATCTCTGGTTAAGGATTTAGAGCAATTAAGAATTTTGGTGATATCTAGATGTATGGCGCATTATTACTCAATTAGCGGGAAAACTTTACTTATGAAAGATTGTATAATATGGATATGATGTTTTGAAGGTGTTATTGTGCTATCATGTTTCCGAACCAGTACGGAGATATGTTTTTAGCTAGCTTTATATGTGTTTATGTGCTTTGGATGATTATTACTATTTAATTCTGTGGCGTTTTCCTGCTAAGTCAACTACACCTCACAACTTTCAAATCTAAAGCAATTTTCCGAAATGTCAATTTTTTGTAGCATTGTAAGAATTATCGGACTTATCACAACTAGAATCATCTCTGATTCTATTCAAACTTAAAAATGCATAATTAGATTGCTCAGTAACTGGATAACGGTACCAGATACAGAAGGTGCTTGACTAGTGGTGAATTGTATAATTGAAAATAATTCATAATAAATTATTTTTCATTGTTTACCATCAACTAGGTTGAGAAGTAAATATCTCTTGTAGATTTTTTATGAATTTTTTCTTCTTGGATAGTGCTTATGCTAATGGATTCAAGCATATTCTTTGAGATCAACCTTCGGAGGCTGGATAATTTTCAATATTCAATTTTCTTACTTAGCAACTATATTGCATTTTGTAGTTTGTTTTTTCTTTTTTAAATGCTATCCATATCAACCTTATGTTATCACTCTGTTTCATATTAAGCTATTTGATCTCAATTCATGATTCTATGTGTTGGGTAATGTGGAGACCCAGTCCAACAAATTTAATTAGCTTTCTAATTAAGAATCTCACCCACCGCTCACCTACCCTCCCACCTACCGCTCACCTACCACAACACCCACCTACTGCTCTCCTAGTTTCTATAAATACCCTCTTATGACTTGTCATAAACAAGCCAAGCCAAGTTCTCTAAGAGAGAGAGAGGGAGAGAGAGAGAAAGAGGAAGAGAGAATAAAATAGAGATTTTTTGTAAACGTCGAGGCGCTTGACGGTGTAATTCCTTGAAGAATAAAATCCTTTGCAGCTCCGTGGACGTAGGCAAATTTTCCGAACCACGTAAATCTGTGTGTCGCTCTGGTGTTTTTTTGTGTGCAATTTTTCTCGTTCAATTTTTCGCTTTATTGTAGTCGTTTTTTCACAACATCTATGAAGAATGATTTTGTTCTAACCTACTTTTGTTTTTGCAGGATTCAATGTCGAGACTGTAGAGTACAAGAACATTAGCTTCACTGTCTGGGATGTTGGGGGTCAGGACAAGGTACCTTTCCAATATTTTCAATAAAGTGCTATGATTTTAGTTTCATACTTCATGTTAAACTTGTTAGGTGTTCACAAATCTAAAATTTTAGCAAGCACTTGAAGTTGTAATGTGTCCTGCTCATGACATTTGTTATTCATATATGCTTGTGCCAATTGGAAATCCTACTTTCTATCCTATAGGATACTTTTAAACATATTTTATACATTATACGCTATATTGCTCTTTATTTTTTGAATGTACCACTCCCAATAATATCATGCAACTTGAGTAATTTCATGGCATGGAACATTTTTTGAAACAGATCCGACCATTGTGGAGGCACTATTTCCAAAATACCCAGGGCCTTATCTTCGTTGTAGATAGCAATGACAGAGATCGTGTTATTGAGGCAAGGGACGAGCTCCATAGAATGCTTAATGAGGTATATTTCAATTTTACAATCTCTTTTGCCAAATTACGTGGCATTAACTATTCTAAAATATAACCATGATATCATGAAAATAAAAATGAAGTGTCATATCGATTATGTACACTTGCTCGGCACACCCTCGACACATGTAGGACACGCCATCTACATGCCTAATTAAAAAAGAAATTAAGAAACACGTTGTCAGACTCATGTCCAAAATAATAAATTTCAACTTTAAAGTATATTACATAAATAGTTTAATATATCTACTCTCTTTTATTTTAAAATATATTTCTTAAAAAGCTTTATCGCTACTTAACACTAATTTTTCCTTATTTGCTCTATTTTTTTTCTGATGTTTTTATTTTTCAATTTTTTAACAAATTAAGAAAATTTCTCAATTTCAAACTTAAAATATATTATATTGTCTGATTTTTTTCCTTCAATTGATTTTGAGGTATTTAATAAATTTAAATATGTTGCATATTTTATGAGCAATTGAAATAAATTTATTATTGTATGAATTCATTTCATATTAGTGCTCTACTTC